CATTATTTTGTATAATGTCCACCTGGCATTATAAAAAAATGTTCCTTAAAACAGAAAAGGTGGCGCTCGATCACATACTAGTAGTTAAATGCACTGCATTAAAGGCAATTTATAGCTTTAACAAGTCCAATAGCTGTGGGGATGCTGTTACGGTGTTGTTTTGTGCCAGCCTATCCTGTCAGCAGGTTTAGGGTGACGACGAACTACTCTTACGGACACTATGTACGAAACACGTAGTATACGAAAACAAAATAGAAGCTGTACAGTACGGGGGCAAAACACGATCTACTTAAATATTACTGCCTATCGTGTTCCTCTAATTAGTGTCATAATCACTGTAGTTTGTTTAAGCTGAATTAATTCAAAATATAAAAAAATGTATTGAACAAATATTCTGTATTTCCAGCAAATTATATTTAGTTGATATTACAAGGTTATAACTTGATATACCATTTATTATCTTATTTAGGTGTGATGCGTGATGTTTTACAAGGTTATAACTTGATATACCATTTATTATCTTATTTAGGTGTGATGCGTGATGTTCTAGGAAATTATGACGCTGCATTTTACATGGTGGCAGCAGTCTTAATGGTGTCAGCTATTTGTAGCTTTCTCATGCCAATTGCAGATAAATACATTGAGTATAGAAATGCCAATATAAGAAGAGACAATTCATTGCCGGGGACGGGAAAAGAACAGAATACAGATTTAGTTTGTTATAATGAAGACATGGCTTCAATTACAACAGTTTAATGATAATGAATATTGCTACTTGGATGTTTTCTATTTTGTACTTGATTACGTATCATACAATTATATCTGTTATTAGTCCCCGTTCGGACGAAGTCCGAAAACGGGGACTTATAATTCGGTCTCCGTCCGTGCGTCTGTGCGTCCGTCCGTCCGTCCAGAGTCATATCTCAGAATCCCTTGGACCGATCCCGTTCATTCTTTGCATGTGCCTAGTACTTTATGTGGGACATATGCACATGCAGTGGTTTAGCGATTCGATTCAAAATGGCCGACTGGCAGCCATCTTGTTTTTTGAAAATGTTGTATTTTGGACATGCTTTGTCAGTTTTCATTCAAACTTGGTACATAGATTAGACATGTTAGGATACATGTCCATGATGATTTATTTCACAATTGGATCAAAGATGGCCGACTGGCAGCCATCTTGTTTTTTGAAAATGTCGTATTTTGGACATGCTTTGTCAGTTGTCATTCAAACTTGGTACATGGATTATACATGTTATGATACATGTCCCTGACGATTTATTTCGCAATTGGATCAAAGATGGTGGACTGGCAGGCATCTTTTTTTTATATGTGGAATCTTGGACGTGCTCTGTCAGTTTTCATTCAAATTTGGCACATACATGTACTTTATACATGTTAGGATGCATGTCCATGACAATTTGTTTCAAAATCTGGTCAAGGATGGCTGATTGACAGCCATCTGACTTTTTGGCCTTACTACTATATTTCCACAATTTATGTACCATTTTCATTCATATTTGGCACATACGTCATACATATCAGTGTGTTTCATAATCAGATCAAAGATGGCCGAATAACGGCTGTTTTTATTTTTGGCCATATTACTACTACACGGAATACGTGTTTTGATGTAAATAAACAATATGTTGTATACGCCACTTGGAACTCAAGTTTCAAGGACACGCTCGCGACAACCCCTCCGCTTTAATATGATGAGCACAAAGAGAACTTTCAAAAATTTAACGGGGACTGTGTCATTTTCAATGACTTGTTTTATTTAATAAGGTTATAACGTGCATTGTACATTATTTTTGACTCCCATGTGCGAAGCACAAAATGGAATTCTTTGCAGTTAGTGTGTCTGTCTGTATGTGTATGTATGTATGTGTGTATGTGTGTCCGTCTTTTCCACTGATATCTCAAGAACCATACATCAGTTTTTTATGAAACTTGGTGCATAGATGCTCTAGGCCAATGCACAGATTTGATTAGATTTTGGTAAAATTCCATGCATATTAATTACCTAATTTGCATGATAATAAGCTAATGTTTCGCTGTTCCATGACTGTTCCATTGATATCTAAAGAACCACTCATTGGATTTTGATGACACTTGGTATATAGATGCTCTGAACTTGTGCGCAGATTTGATTAGTTTTTGGTGAAAATCCGTGCATATTCAAACTTAATTTGCATGATAATTAGCTAATTTTTAGCTGTTCCATGACTGTTCCACTGATATCTAAACAACCACTCATTGGATTTTGATGAAACTTGGTACATATATGCTCTGAACTAATTCTAGGTTTTGATTAGTTTTTGGTAAAAATTACCTAATTACTAATTACCTAATTTGCATAATGATTAGTGAATTTTCGGTTTTTCCACTGATCATGTACTAATCATCACATTTCAATGAAACTTGGTACATAGATGTCATAGGACACTGCACAGACCTGATAGTTTTTAGGGTAATATCAGTGCATATTAATTACCTAATTTGCATAATTAATAAATTTTCAGCTTTTGATGTTTCAAGTAGTAAGCATTATATTTCAATGAAACTTGGTACATTTATTATTTTTGGGATAAATATTTGTGAATATTAATCACCTAATTTGCATAATTAGTTAATTTTCAGCTTTTCCACAGATATCTCAAGTACTAATCATCACATTTCAATGAACGTTGGTACATAGATCTTTTAGGACTATCCAGAGACCTGATTAGTTTTAGGGTAAATAATTGTGCATATGAATTACCTAATTTGCATAAATAATTAATTTTCAGCTTTCACCCTGATTTCTCAAGTACTAATCATCTCATTTCAGTGAAACTTTGTACATGGATGCTGTAGGACAATAGACAGACCTGGATAATTGTGGGTTAATCTCTGTACATATTAATTACTAATTTGCATAATTAACCAATTTTAAGCTATCACACTGATATCTAAGGTACTAATTATTCCATTTCAATGAAACTTGGTACAACGATGCTCTAGGACAATGTACAAACCTGATTAGTTTGGGGTTAAAATCTGTTTATATTAATTCCCTAATTAGCATAATAATTCATATTTTTTTGGTTCCAATCACATTTCAATAAAACTTGGTACATAGATGGTCTGTTACATTGCGCAGACCTCATTAGTTTTACACTCAAATCTGTTCATATTAATTTTCTGATTTGCATTATTAGTTTTCAGCTTTTCCATCACTATCTCAATCAAGTACAAGTAATTTTGAATTTTAAATTTAATGTGTCTCCAATACTCTCAGCACATGGGAGTTCTTTCTAAGCTTTCTTTGATATTATTTACATACAGCCAGATACATTTGGTCATCTGTGGTGATCTAAAATTATACATATTATTAAACAAGTTTATATAGTACTATTATAATAGAATTTAATTGACAATCTTTTGGAAGAGGACATAGGGACTCGTGCAAAACATTTCAGAATAGCGTGTGATGTGCAGCAGGTGATCGAACTTTGACCCCCTACCGACATGAATAAATAAATACCTCGGTGTTTCAGTTATTTTGAACTCTATATTTAGTAAAGAATGGGGCCTTTCATAAGTGAGTATATACATTAGGATCATTGTATAAATTCGATTGTCACCATAATTCTTCAGTTATCGTGGTTTTGGGATATTGAAAGTAAAGTGTATATTAGATATATATATATATTGGTTCTGAATGAATATATGTCAGTATTAGCTCACGTTTAGTGACAACTTGGCATGATTCGGACACTGGCGATGAATTTGCCGTGGCATTGAAACACTTAGACTTGTATTACCAGCAACGTGAAAAAGTTATGACATAGAGACCCTCACAGCCTCAAACGCAGAAATATGATTACCATTCGAAGACCTTCGTGGGAGGTGATGAAAAATTTAAAACTAAAAACAATTCAACAAATAAATAGATTTGAGATTTTCGTTCTCGAAATCGTGATAACTAAATTAGTCATTCTCGTATGTTATAATTTCTGTGATCCATCCTTAGTGTGCATAGTCTATAGGTATAGGAAACATTATCAACACATACACATACCACAAGGTGACAAATCATTTACTAATACATAAGAACATAAATGTTCCTATAATGGCATACCTATTTATGAAGCTAGAGTTTTATCAGAAAAAAAACAAGCTTTACCAACCGCCCAAGAATGAATCTGTCGCAATTAATGATGGTTAATGAGTTCAGTTAGAATAGTTGTCGTTTGAAAAAACAAAATATCTCACAAAATGCAGTTTGAATCGTATCCCACCTAATACATAATTTACGTTCTATGTAGGTCAAACTTGATTATGGAATTACCAGTTTTAAATGTTCCAGTTTAAATACACTGGCATGGGATTACCATAATAGACTATTTGTCTCGGGCGTCAATTAGATACTATTTGTTATTAATTACTTATTAGAACGCTAACATCTAGTTCATTTACTACTGTACTAAATATTGACATGGCTTGATAGGTGCATGGCTTCATATGGACATGGTGCAACTTTTATGGTGGCTGTTGTGTATCGTTACTTTCTGCAAGAACGATTTTGATAACTCCATAAGTTGAACTTACTATTCGCCCAAATGTATTCTTCCTGTACTATCTTCATAACTGTTATAAACATATCATAGACTTGAGGTTAATTGAGAGAATATCCGTACTACCCCAGAGCATAATCTCTCACACACAAAGTAATAATGAAATGACAAAAATATGTTGTGCTGTACGAGCTTGAAAACAAAGAGTGTTCGCCTACTCTAAATGAAGAGAATTTCTATGTTCGATTCAGTGCGAATGCGGTTTGAACGAATGAAAATACGGCTTTTAAAGTAGTGATAATTTTTCTGGTTCTCTGTGCTAGATAGATTAACGCCTTTGCCGGTCAAAATATTAAGTTTAAGGATATCACTGTTCATTCAAAGTAATATATCTAGCACATATTCGTTGGAACTAGGTCAAATTAATATTGAACACATTTTGTAGACATATATTTACATACATTTATTTCATATGAGTCACTTTGGGAATCGCATAAACGAAATCTAGACTACTTTATGACATATCAATTTATTATCTCATTTAGATTGTATGCGTGATGTTCTAGGAGACGACTATGCTGCGTTTTTCCATGACTGAGCACATTTTTTTATAATGTCGGCGGATTTGTGCTTTTTTTTATTTCAAATGATGGGGAAAACGGAATACTGATTTAATACAGTCTAATGAAGATATAACTTTTATTCCAACAGTTTAATTACAATGCATATTCACTCTTCCATAATTTCATGTTTACTCACAGATCGCCATTACATCATTTATTTGATTTAAATTCGTGTAACGGGCATTCATTAATTCATAATTCATTAATTATGCATAAAAGTAATTATATGAACGAACGATTCATTGTCTTCAAACATAAAACGTAGAATTGTAGAAACACTATTGCTAACCTATATTTGTCTGAATTTATTGTCTGAATATGAACGTACAAAAACCACTCAAATGTAACCTTGTTCATCAGTTAAAACGAAATTTTGAGAGAGACGAAAATATAAACAGTGTATTTTTCAAAAACCGTAATTAAGTTAATTAATTCACTATTTGAATGAAGACCATTCCAATTCAGCGTTGAGTCTGTCAAATAGATAGACTCATTTACGCATTGTATTTTCAACCCTTTATCTTGTTTTTTGGTGTGTTTTCTATTAAATATTAAGTTGTGTTTCTCATCA